ATTCTCATAATGAAGCTGCCTACAGAACCTATTACTGCCAATTCACAAACCTGCTGATAACATGTCCGGTGCATTCATACTACCGCATCTAGCACTACAGAAATATTATTCTCCTCTGGAAAAACACCCATCAGAAACATTCTGGTTCAGAAAGCCCTAGGAGAAAAGTGGAGCATGCTTTTAAATTATGATAATAATGCAACACAACAGTGTAAACATAACCATGTTAGTGACTAGAGACCTATCATGCACTTTATACGGAATATTTACTGGTTTAGAGTGGCTATACTGTGCATGTACTGCACACATTCTGAACGTGTGAATCTGTGGTAGTTGCCAGGATTTAGTGGGCAGTGCGGACATCCTTAAGCGCTTTTAGGTTCTTTCCTTTTATTACTTCTTTATGCAGAACTATCAGCTGTGAAGGCTCTGAACAAATCCTTTTTTTAACATGAACTGAAATCTGTAAGTACTGTACCCTGCCTCTGACAAAGTGCGTGATGAGGTCCAACCCCTACTTAACTTATACTTTACAGAAATACAAAGATTTTAAAAGTGGTTCCAGAACATCGCAAGCACATCTTGAACAGCTAGAATACTGGTACAGAGTAAGAGGGCTATTTTGAACTCAGTTTTGAAATGAAGAGACCAATCATCTTCATATACAGTATGAAGTAGTTGCTCCCTCTCATCACTGATTTTACGGATTTAGAATAAATTCTTTTATGAAAGAGTAACGCCCCAATATCGCCATAGCCCAGGAAAAACAGAGGAGAGCCTCTGGGGATATATTACCAACACAGTAATAGAAAATTACTTCCTTGTGTCTGAAGGAACCCATTTAAACATTACATAAAAATCTTAAAATAGCACTTAAAAAGTGCTAGATAAGCTCCAAGACTGAATGGGTTCCTGGAAAGTTGTGCACTGTGTTTCTCATTTTCTCATTTTGCAACATTATTGTTGGAGAACTGAGCAAACAATTTAATGCAACCTGACAGGACATCCCAGTATAATATAGACAAAATTGTTTAAGAGCAATTCTACATTTAAAGAGAAGCAAATACCACAATGCCACAGCCTTTACTTGAAGAAATGACAACTGTCTTAAGGTGTTAAAATGAGGTCTAGTCTACTCTGTGAACATTACAGATCCCACAGGACTCTTTGAAAGCAAGAACTGGGTGTTAATAAAACCCTTGTTTGGCCTATTTCCCTCGGCCCTGGCTAACTGTCAAGCAAAGCTCCAGCTCCATCACTGGGTCCATCCAACAAAAATATATTCAAATAAAAACTCATTCCAATAACGGTTTCCCCACGGCTGGCCGTTCACTTCCAACACACCACTCCCACCAACACTTGCGTTATTCAAAAATCTTTCACTTAACACCGTGTGCACATCTCAAACATTCAGGACCTGATCCGAGTAAGCTGGTGACTATAAATTCAGTTCACTTAAAATAAAACAAAGCTATGTCTGGTGGGCAAGCACATCCTCTGTGTGTTGCCGAACGCTCCCAATTATCCAGAGAAGATCCAGCTCATATTCCTGCTGATAGCTTTGCTCAACTCCCACTTTCCACACAATGCAAATTTTGTGAATACAATGTCTGTGTTCACAACGAAACCTTAGGGGGAGGGGGAAATTGAAGCCAGGAATGTCATTATTCAAAGAGCTTTAACTTCAAAGACTTTTATTGGTTTTACAAACAAAAAAAAGCTACATACAGTATAGGAAACTGAAGGAGGAAAAAAAATCCAGATTTATGCAAATGTTAAGTCTCTATCAAGAAACCTTGCGAAACAGGACACAGTAAGCCAAACCCACAATGCAGGTTTTGGAAGTGAGCTTATATGATGAAATCAGTCTAACTGGACTTCTGCAGCAAACCTGAGACCTTGATTCCTTGTTATAATGGGAAAGGGAAAAAATAAATCACTGTTTAATACAGGCCTAAACAAAAAATTAATTCATCTTTAAAATCATACAGTGAGGTGCTCTTGCTCAGAAGACTTACAATCGATTGTCTGAACAACAGACATTGATTGTGCCCCTAATTCTTGTGTGATACAGCTCTTTCCAGGGGTGTGCTTCAAATTCGAGTCACCCCTGGTGTTATGATAGCAACGAAGAGCGACAAGGCCCAGAAACAAACACTCTAAGCTGCTTTTCTAGTTCAATCCGTGTCAGAGCAACTGCAGTCAATGAATTCAGGAAAGAATTCCAAAGCCCCTCACAATTTACAATTACGGTTGCTTAGAATAGCCTCAAAAAAGACCACCAACACCACAGGCTCAGTTCGCAGCAGGGTGTGAGAGTGACATTGTTCCGAGGTGAAATAAAAAGGTGGAGGCCAATTAAAAACCACAATGTGCTAACCTCTTTGAGGCTTTTTACAGATGCACAATAATGAATTATTCTGGTATGAGACCATTAGTATCCCATTACCTACAAAACCACCTACCTTCATTCGACCAAACTTGCTATCTTGCACGCACAACATAAGCACAGTGTCATTTATTCTGTTTTCTGAGACAAAGCAAATCACATTTTTAATTATAAGAGCATTAAATAACATACAGTGTACAAGATTTCAGTTTTCATAACATAATTCTAAGGAAAAAAAAACATTCTCTTGGCCTTTACACCCTTTTTAGAAATACATACAGAGAAGCATCTTATAACTCATTTAACTAATTTAAATCTACAGCATATCTAGAGGAGGGAAGCTTTCAGCATGTTAAAATGTAGTGACTCAGAAGAGCACAGCAATTACAAAGCTCTCTGCATATTTCCTGTGTCTAATGTCTAAAGTAGCTGAACAGGCAGCAGATGACAGCACAGAAGAGCCTGGGAGATTTTTACACTCGGGGAACTCAGTCTAGGACTGAGGCTCACAGTGGCCACAGCCCACGTTCATCTCCTGGTGAAGATGAAATCTCACCTTGTTAGTGTGGGTACGTCTGGAAATGTATGCTTAGACCTAAAAACTGTTTCTTTCAGTTAATATTCTTTTTCTCTCAAATTAATTATCTAGACTTCTTTCGACTAACAAAGCACTGAAATGAGTAACCTTGTGTGATTAAAAAGAGGCAAGGCAGCTGTTTTTGAGGTTTACGTCAATGATCCACTAAGTCCTGTGCTGGACTCATGCAACACATATAGCACTGACAGTAAGATTGCATGCGTATCTGCAAAAAAAACAGTCAAAAAGCCACTGTCCTAAAAAATGTTCAGTTTTAATTACCTGACACAAAAAAGGCAGTAGTTCATCATAAAAATGCAAAATTTAATTTCACAACAAAGCACAAAACATTTAAAGGAGGAAAACCGACTTATACCTTTGATATTTGGGAATTACACTGGCTTGCCAACTTTGATTTGAGTAACTATATTATCCCGGTTGTATTAGTTTGATAAAACTGAGATTTGATTACATTCAGTTTGTGGAATATATGGAAAAAATGAGCTAATGCTCCCAAATCACATTTGGACACTCTTAAATCAGTTACCACTCTGCATACCACAAGCTGGGGACACTATACCTCAAATTCTTTACTCAGTGAACCCAAAGTAAAATAATAGTTACAGTGACATGCCACAATCATGATATTCTCGATAAATAGGATGCTTAGACTTTTAATTAGACAAATTATTCATATGCGCTTCTGGGTTTTAAGCCTCTGTGCATCTCTGCCCCTCCAGTACTTAAGGAATTTATAAAATTGCTCCACAGATTATAATTCTAGATGCTCCATGAGCATGCACAAAATGTGCAGAGACTCACACTAAGTGGAGCTATGGAAAGCACAAACTTAAAAGGAGGATGGGAGAAGTTATTACTTTCCAACACACTGTTTATTCCAGTGCTGACGGGTTTGAGACCTATACTACACGTGTTCTTGTTTCTGAACAATTTTATTCACAGACACTTGTACCAAAAAATATTCTGAAGAAAGATGCAGGAGTCATTCACTGGTCAATATTTGCCCTGTACAACACTTCTGTTAGATTTGATCTTGTGGAGTTCTGCTTCCGTTTTGCCTTGTGACACCTTTACAAACCCCCCATAGCCGAGTTGGTGCTTGGCTGTGTTTTTATTTTAATTATTTTGGTCAGCCATTGCGATTTGATCTTTAAAGTTACATAGTAGCTGCATCATATACAGTATGGTATGACAATACTTTATTACCTGATTCCTCAGAAATTTGTTTTGCAACCAAGCTGCCATGTTTTACACACAGAGACTTACAAAAAAGGTATGAAAAGTGCACAAACAATACATCATAAATACATATTACATTACAGAAAATACATCAATCCATACATGGTCCTTATGCACCACTCCTACAGGAATCTCCACAATTTACCAGAACCTGTAAGCTTACTCCCCCAGAATCACTCTAAGTCCTTTAAACTGCATATTACCCCTTCATTTTTCACATAACCTCTGACTGTACTTGCCCATAACCAACACTCATTGATTGACTAAGTAGTTTGATTGAATGTGAGATAAAAGAAATTTCTCATTTATGTCTGCATTTTGGGACTCCATAATGTCTATTTGAAAGCATCAGTGGGCATTCTTCATGCAGAACATGCAAGGGATCAGAGGAGATAGTAACCGCCTGTCTCCACATACTCTTAATGTAAGCAGAACTAACTTACAGAACTAACACATCGTAACACCTTCCACCTGTAAGAGCAAGTAAGACTACAGCGACCACTAGAAACCTGGATTTTGATTGGCCTGCAGGCAATCACCTGTTATTATTGGTTTTCCTTGTATTTGGTTGTCAAGGTTTCATCAGCCAGAGGTGCATCAGCTTTGCTCGAGCATTATTCCAGGGTAAGGGCGTTTAGCACAGAACCTGAGGCGTGAAAGCCAGACGGCTCTAGAGGCCTGCCTTTTTTCAAAAAACCTAATTCACGGACGGAAGCAAATCTGTTTCTTTACCAACACCGGCGGAAGCACTGCCACCAAAAAAACAAGATGTACCTGTAGTACACACGCAGGGTCTGAATTTCTTCTTCTAGTTTTCTACTGTGCTCCAGAGCACGGTCTCTTTCCTTCTGGGCGAGCTCCAGATCAGCCTGTGAGAGAAAACAAAAAACGATCTGTACAGCTACAGTGCACGACAGCAATGAAATATACCAGGACTGTGCGATGCTAATTCTAGGTCTCTGAAGGAGAATTTTATTCATGCATTTTAGGAAAGAACATAATTCTGCTCCTCAACTTCATGGCATGCCTGCCTTTAACTCATAGGCCAGGGGGATTAAAAATCATCTTGTGTGTGTTCTCTGTCCCCCACCCATAAAAACAACCTTCCACACCAGATCATAACCATGTTATGGAACTGCAGGCAAACCTGCTCAGACAGACTCTTCTACACCAGACTCCACACAACACAATTCGCAAGGCGGGGACTGTGAGAAGCACAACAGCTTATTCTAAACACAAGAACCCAATTGTCGAATCATTGCCTTGTATGTTATGATGCAGAGGTGATCAGCACCTTTTTCTTCTTTTTTTTTGTATGTAATCAATTAATATTTATAAAACAATAAAGCGTGTCAGATGAACAAAACTGCACATTCTAAGCAGGCATTGAATATTCGCAACATTATCTTACAATGAAATCAGATCAGTGTCAATCACTATTAAATCTATGTAGACTTCTTAGATGCATCTAAGAATAAAAGAGTATGATTTCATTGGTAATAAATTTAAACATAAATTCCAAACTTTCAAAAAGACATGTCTGCATACAGTAAAAGGCCTTTACTGCATTTTATTAAACCCATTAAAAGAATACCAACAAACATAGGGACAGACAATAGGTAAATGCTTAGGGTATCCCATTCAAGCATTGTTTGCTACTCAGCACTCATTCAAAAAGACTGTGTTCAAGGCAAAGTGACTGGTCACAGAGAGTGCAAAGCACTAGGTAAACAGTGTCTTGCCATTCAGGGACTAGGTTGTTAAACCCAAGCAGTAATTAAGCTCTTGCTAATTATCAGCCGTTGAAACAGATGTGTTGACTATCCTTATTAGTCAACAGCTGGGAGAGGAGAACAATTGAGGTTTCCTAAACCAACAGCCAGCTGCCTTACTGTAATTGCCTGCAATCTATAGCCTAAGTGATAAGGGAAGAGAGGTAGAGGGCATGCACAATGAAAACTGCAAAGCTGTTATTGATTACTGGAATGTAATTGGAGTTGAATCATACTTAACAGGGAGACTCAGCGCCTAGACTGCATACAGTTGCCATCTGCTAAGCGCCGCCTCACAATGTGACAAGTTCATCCGGACCAGGTGATGCCCTCATTTTATTTGCAAGTTAAAAACAAGCCAGTACCTATGATTAAAAGGTACAGAGCTTGCCTTATCCATAAACATTTAGCAGACAATTGTATGAAGATCTATGTTATGAGCAATGATATCAGGACCCAACAGAAATCTCAAACAACCCGCAAGTGCAAGAGAGAGTTATGGGTTTCCTGTGGAGGTACAGTACCAGTCTGCTGAAGACATGTCGGAGCTTGTCATCCACTATTGATACCACGGAGAGAGCTCAGAGAGGCTCAGCTCTGCATATTTTCAGAGCATCCACTCTCCACTGTGTTCCCAGCCAGCAATTAATAATGGCTTCTTCTTAAAACAACACAAGAACACACAAACAGGGTGGCAGAGCAAGAAAGTACACCGATGACTGCGAAGATATAATTGTCTTATATAATGTATTTTGAAACATGGTGACAGACCTAAACAGTACAGAGCTGGCAAGAAGTGGCAGAAAACTACCAGTGCAGCCTGTCTTCTGGGCCCCAGGCTGCTGGCGGGGAGAGCTGTGGCTGAGAGCAGTTTGCACTCTACCCCCGTAGCGGCTGTTTTGGTACACCTTCAGGTCATTTTGAAAGACACCAATGATGCTGACCTACTTGACGATGTACGAGATCTTGGCAATACATGAAGAGAAGCAAAGTGTCCTAACAAGTATTTAAGTTATTGGCATTAGTCTTCAGAAAACTGATGGAAAAGAGGTAAACATGAAGTCTTCCATCCTGTATCATAGGATGCATCATACAAGACTGTTGAATCCCATGTCAACTGCTTTTCTTTCTGCATAATGTGTTCCATTAAGCTGACAAAAATACATGGACATCTCTCCTATAATTTAGAGAAACAAACTTCTTTCATCATCAACAGGCAGTTTTCTCACTAAAGCAACTTTTAAGTATGTAAAATGGTTTTACTAAAATATAAGGTTTAAGGAATGGCAGGCTAATTTTTAAATTTTGTTAACTGATGAAGAAATGTAGCTGCAATGACCCAAGTCAATTAATCTCCTGAATATCCCCCTTTTAAAGCCACACGTTAACATGGATGTCTCTAGAAGACCCACCCAAACTCCCGTGAATACACTCTCCTGACTGAATTTTCAACAATGGCCATTTCTTATGGCCCACTTGCATCTTTTGTTGAAAGAATGGAGCCAGTCTAGCTTTTAATTGTTTCTTGTGTTATCCGAGAGTCAGCCCTGGTGTCAGGGCAGCACTTAAAGCCAGAGAGATAAACTGCACTCACAGACCAGCGGAGCACAGCCAGCACTGCCCACTGCTGCCCAGGCACCAGATAAGAGAAGCACTTGCAAAGAGCCGCAATATCAGCTTAATGGTTCTGGGGAAACAACGCATTTATATTCTGATAAGGACCGACCTTACAGGTGGAAGCAAGAGCTTAATTTTAGGCAGGGCAGCCTGTAAAACATGCAACATTGTTAAAGGCTCTTTTACGTGAAATAAAAGACTACCTAGAAATCAGTCACAATTGCTTGAAAGCTCAAGTCTCACAGTAAAAAGCAACAGACCTCCAGTTACCCTGACAGATCGCTGGAGCAAACATACGGAGTGAGATAAGGAGAAGGTGCAGGACAGGTGGCTACAGTACTTCCTCTTTTGGAAAGAGCAACAGGACAGAAGAGTGCAGAAACTCAAGAAACAAAACGTTTGAAATAAAACTCATTTAAAAAGAAAATCCATTCAACATAAAAGCTAAACGAGTATCTAGGTGATGCGGTAAGTAGCACTGTCTTTCCACAGTCCCAGATTTGAAGCTGCCCTTTTCTGTATGGAGTTTTCATTTTCCCCCTGGGTTCACGTGGTTCTGCTCCAGGCCCTGCAGTTTCCATCCAAGCACATGTGATCTACGTTAATGGGCACCTGCAACTTGTCTGTATGTGAGTGATGATGCCAGGCCATAGCAGTGGACTGGCCTTCCATCCAGTCTGTGTACCCGCCTCGCAACACTCTGCTTTCTGGGATAGACTCTGGCTCAATGTGACCCTCTATAGATAAAGCAGTTACTAACAATGGATGCACTTGTTTCTGCTTTCCTAAAGCTGACTGACAGATGAGCATGGTATGTACCTTTATATCATTTTAGTTAGAAAAAACACATTGCTTAACTTTTACTTCTCACTGATTGCCAAATGAAAGCTGTCTGTCATCAAAACAAACAACAGATTGTATCGGTGCACAGCTGAGCTATGGTGTGTCAAAGTATTAGCTGCGCCACTTCGGTTTACTTCAAAGCATTGAAGTTTCAGGTATGCTGAGCATTTGTGAAAGTGGTATTTGTAAATGGAAAAGATGGGGACTTGCCTGGAAAGGCGTATCTATGTTTTCCCTTCCAAAGCAGCAAGTCACATAGGTGTGCTATTCACACACTGCACAGACCTTAGTATTACGAAGATTACAATGGAATGAATGCCCCTCCAGTTAGCAAAAAATACAAGAGAGGTCAGCCTCCCAAAATAAATATGTACTTTTCTCGAATGGAGAGGTGCGGTGAACTTCAAACTCGGTCACAGTGATCACATTCATTTCTCCACATCTGTCACACATTTTCTTTTGCAAGAAGCAAATCTTTTAGGAGGTCTGGCCAGCTTCCCTTCAGAAATCCCTTGCTCCCTTTCCTTGCTCCATGGCACTGGAGTGTCCAAAGTACAGGAGATGATGGTGCTCGACAAATCTGAACTCTAGCCCAGAGGCAGGCGGAACAGCCAGTGCAGCTTTTTATTTTTTTTCTGCAAATCCCACTGGGAGATAAGAATATATACAGATGGTCAGGCTGACAGCTGACAGCAACCTTCAGGTGGTCACAGTGCTTGTTGCCTGACACTGGCCATTTTCACAGCCGATTAAACAGCTTCAGAATGGGACTGGGATGATTTTGCATAGGAAACAGGAATTTGTTAATGAGGGGGGTGTCAGGTGCCAGGGTCTTACTCTGACCTGGTCTTCCCAATCCTCACCCCTACACCAGTTTGCACACTACCAACAAACAGAGGACAATTAAAACCGTTTTGTTTTTACAAGGAGGACAAATAACTCTGCAAAAACATTTCTGGAGCGAATTTACCCAACATAGATTCTGTATAAATGCTCATTAACAGACACTGCGATGTGAGTTTCTATTTATCGTGTATCCAGAGTACTGAAAAATGTGCATTGTTATTAAGTTAGGAAATAGTTTTATGTTTCAAAATCAATAAAAATGTGCCCTTGTGCAGGGCTTGCTGTATGGAAGCACCACCTGCCAGTGCACATCAATTAACAATTGTAACTCATTAAATAGAGGAGATTTCATGAGCAAATGATAAGCAGAAACCCACTCACCTGGCAACATGGGTGGGCAAGAGAGTTACTGAGGCAACAGGTAAGGTCCTGTGTTAATGTTTCACTGCCGAAAGAATGGGGGAATGAGGGTGAGGATAAAAGCTCTCTCTCACTGCCAGCCTTCAAACAAGCTGCAATTAATCACAATAAAATATTGACAAACACAGACCTGCTTACGAAATGCTGAGGGTGAAGCTGACAGGCTCTGCATTTAGGTAATTAATTGCAGAAAGGCACTAATCTGTCTTTTAACTGTTAGAGCCACACTATTAAACATTAAAGATTTGCCGAATTCCTGGCTTAAAAAGGTATTAATTGAATCACAGCACACTGCTTTGATCAATTCAGACATGCCCACACACCAAGACAAAAATCAATATCTAAACTGTGGTATAATAAATTGAAAGCAA